GGAGTGTAGTGCCAAGAGGAAAAACGTGGCCAAGTGAGAAAGCAGCCCTAACTAATGAACCGGTCCTGAAAGGCCTTACCAGCCTCGATGCCTGACAAAAAACAAAAAGAATTAATCAGGGTGTTGGAGGAGAGACCCTTGACATTGATTTTGCTCGAGTCGCAAACTTTCATATCAGATTTGTACATTTTGTTGCATGCTCCTTTCTCCCACGTCACTCCCCTCACATGCGGAGTAACCGCCTCAGCGCTGACGCGTCTTCCCCACGCTTGCATACGCGGGTACACCTTGCTCGTACTGAGTGCGTCCCCCTTCTCTTCGCTGCCTTCCCCTATATGCTGCGACCGTAGCCTTTTACGGAGCACATGCTGCTGAGGGCCGTACTGTGGGAATTCCAGTCCAACGGTACCGATAGGCGTTGCAGTCGAAATCAAAGAGAATTGTCCTAGTTACCAAATCAGAAACTGTGCCGAGCATAATGGTACCGCGGCCCCGTAACCTGGCTGTATTGGCCCAAGGACCGTGCCAGTCCGGTGACAGACCAAAGCCTCACGCCAGTGCCGTACATACCCAAGATGATGAAGAGGGCCTCAATATTGAACCGTTGAGTCCCATTGACATAGCCGTCTGGGACTGCAGCTACTGGCCGCGGTATTTTGCAGCAACTGTTCCGTGACAATGCCTCTGACCGTAGCACCCGTACCAAATCATACCAATCATTTGGAGTCGTTTTTCACACACACATCCGATCGTTGTCGCAAAGAACTGAAATAGCCCGTACCGTGCCAGCCGACACCAAACCGAACCAGAAAATTAATGTGGCAATGACTTCGATGCTGAAATAAATTGCCGTGTTGGTGCTGATCCGAAAGTAGACGGTCGGAGTCACGTCGAAGCTGTTCCGATCCTGAAATAAATCAATGTGGTGGTTCCAAACCGGATTATAAGTCACCCTGATCTGCTCGAGCTTGAAATAAGCTGATGTCGAACCCTTGTCGAGCTGGAAAAAAAATATGTCGGTGTCGAGTCATACCGAATCCGAAATCAATGGCCGCGATAGCACCGTGCCCGGGATAAACCGCCATGACGGCGGCGAAGCTGAAATAGATCGTCGTAGCAGCCCCAAGCCTGACAATAAATGACGCTGATATGTCCGAACCTGAAATGCACTGATACTGAGCTCACCCCGAACCAAAACACCGAACTATAACCGGAACACCTCCGAACCGGTGTCCGTACCGACCCAAATATCATACCGTTGGTCCAAAGCAGCACCGTCTCACGCTGCCCATGTGACCATCCTCGGACTGACTCAAAGGGTCAATAGTCAGGTAAATCAAGAGAACGACGCGGAAAATCTCGATCATCAGGGGATAGTAACAAAAGGGGTTAGAGTTCAGAGAATTTGATCAACTCGGGGTTCCGGGATGACGGTGGGTAATCCAAACAAAATCAGGCCAGACATCGAATAGTCAGTAGTTCCTGTTCGTTCCGTCTTTGTTTTAATCATTTCACTCTCTTCCTAATTCTATTGTCTGAATATAATAGTCGCAATTTTACAAAAAATAAACACTGAGGGGTTTTAAATCAAATGATTAAAATTCTTTTGTTTCCCTTTTTTTTGTCATGTTTAATCTCTTTTCTTCGTTTTTTATCTCATTGCCGGAAACGTAAAATAACGACGGAGTTTTTACGAAAATTAAATGCCATGGAAATTATAGAAATCAAAGAATATTTTGTTTTTCTCTCTCATCCCACCATCTTTAACCGTCTCTTCCATTTTAATTTTGGCATCCAAATTGACAAAAATTTAAGGCATCACTCGGCCCCGATCGTGTGCTGCAAAAGGCGTTACCGCGGGGTCAGTCCCCGCAATGTCTCTTAGCGGCCGGCCATTTCAGGTCTAGCCTCGGGACGGGCGGAAGTGACGGTTCCAAGATGTGCCGGGAGCGGCTACCCAGTTTGCCATCTTTGGGGGCTACTCGTAAGGTTCAATGCGCACAAAATCAGGGGTGCCTTGAATTCCCCTAATTTTTGCTGCCTCATGAAACTAGAGTACCATCAAAACACACACTTGTGTTTGAGCCTAGGTCCCAAAGCCGCAACTTTCAGGCGGCCTATCCCTTGTGGCCGCCTGACAGTTAGCCCGGACCTCTTCTCGACGCCCCCGTCGAGCCCTAGCAACTTACGTCAGACGAAGCGGATGACCTTCAGGGTGATGGCCCGTAAAGGACGTCCACGTCGGCTTTCAATTGTCTTATGTTTCAGTTTGTTATGAGTCCTGGGGATAAGAAGATGCTTCTTGACTCTCATGTTTCTTCTGGTTTTTGGCCCCGGCATGATCCTCTTTTTCTTCTGTCTTTGCCCCGAGAAGGGTGCCGACCCGCCAGTACGTCTAACGCGAACTCTCCGTCTACCTCGCTTGAGCACGAATAACCATCTCTTCTTTCTTCCTATAGCTAACCTTTTGACCTTTCTCTTCTCTATTATTTTCCTTTTCTTGGAACTCTCCCCTGCCTCGAATTGCCTCAAGGGGGCTCCATCCTCCATTATGGCTTTTCCTTTCCCTTTCGGGCTGGTCAGCGATAAGGCGGGCGTGGGCCTGGGCCTAAACAGCTTTAACCTAGCACCCGCCATTGGGTCCTTCCACTTGGATCTGTCTAATTTTGCTATCATATATGCACCCCAGTCGAGTGCCTCAACCACTCTGTAAGGTCCCATCCATCTGTTGGCGAGTTTTCCGGTCCAAGTTCTTTCCAGCGCTGCATCGTAGAGAAGGACCATATCTCCTACACTCACCCTCTCCTTCCTGATTCTCACGTTCTTATCCCATCTCTCTTTACCTTTGTCTCTTTCCACTGCCAGACGATCTGCCGCTGTCATAAGGTTATCTTCCAAACCGTAGGCTATCTGTTTTGTTCGAGCAGCTATGAGTTCCTCTCTGGACATCTCCTCCGCCCAGCCGACGGTTGTCCAGCTGTCGACGTGAAACTCTATGGGAAGCGGACAATGCCGCCCAAACCACAAGGTGTATGGAGGGTATCCCATGCTAGCCCGGACCGTGACGTTGTCCGCCCAAATTGCGTATCGAAAATATCGTGGTCAATCACTGTCCTTGCCTTTGCACCACTTAGATAGCGACGCTATCAAGGTCTGGTGCCCTCTCTCTACTTGGGAGTTCGACTGTGGGTGGTAGGCAGTGGCTATTGAAACTCTCGCCCCAGCTCTCTTGAATACATTCTCAACCTCGTCAGCCAGGAATTCCGCTCCTCTGTCCATCACTATCTTGCGGACACAACCATACCTAGATAAGTACTCTAGGACGAAGTTCTTCACTTCCTTTGCCGTCTTACTCCTGATAGGTCTACCGTCCACGAACCCCGTGAAGTCGTCTCGTATGTTCACAACATAGTTCATATTGCCTACCGCTTTCGGCATCTTCACCAGATCGATGTGTACCTTCTCTCCTGGTCGGGTTGGATAGGATGGATGAAGTGGCTCTTTGTATTTCACAAGAGTCCTTTTCTGGCATTCTTCGCAGGTCATACAATATCTCTCGACGTCCTTATACTGTCCTTCCCACCAGTACAGTCTGCGTACCTTTTCGTAGGTCCCACTGACTCCTCTATGTCCTCCGACCACCCCGTCGTGAAGCTCCGCAACTATCATCTGTCTCTCCTCAGAATCACAGACCACTCGTAAGGGCATCCCCGACCCTACTGGCCTTCTGAAAAGGTGGCCCGCTCTAAGGCAGTACTGGGCTGCTTGTCTCCGGATATCTAAATCTTGACTCTCCTCTCCCGTCAGGTGTAACCCGATCGTTCGGCTCCGCCATTGTGAGGGCTCCAATTACTATCGGGCGCTCTCCCTCAAGAGGGATCCGAGAGAGCCCATCCGCTACGACATTTTTAGTGCCAGATATCCTCTCTACTGTGTAATCATATAGTCGAATCCGTATTAACCATCGTGCAATGGTCGGGTCTGTCAGGCTAAAGTCCTTCTGGAGGACAGAGGCGACCGCGGTGGGATCCACTCTCAAGATGAACCGTCGTCCATAGATATAATGTCTGAACGTGTCTAGACACCGCAGAACAACTAATACTTCCTTCTTGAATTTGACTGTAGTTTCGCTCTGCCGTATTAAGTGTCATACTCTCAAATCTTAATGGTCTTTCCTTCCCTTTAGCGTCCTTCTGAGAGAGCAACCCTCCTACCGAACAAGGTCCAGCATCCGTGGCTACTATGAAGGGTCTCCCAGCCTCATCATCAAAGAACGGCAGGCCCAGTACGCGTCCTCCCTCCTTAAATTCATCTTTAAGCTCTTGCATAGCGAGTTCCTGCGAGGAATCCCAACAGAATTTCTCAGTTTTTCGAAGGAGTAGTCTCAATGGCTCAGCCTTCTCCGCATACCCTCGTCTGAATATACGCAAGTAACCGACCACTCCCAGAAACTGCCGGACCTCGGTTGGACAATGTAATGGTGACGGCCAGTTCAGGAGTTTGTCTAACTTCGCCGGATCTGCTCGGCGTCCCCTCGAGTCACAGATAAAGCCCAAGATCTTAATAGTTGAGACGGCCCATCGGCTCTTTGTTCCGCTGACTGTTGGATTCGCATCGTCCAGCTGCTCGAGTACCGCGCAAATATCCGTTAGGTGCTTCTCGACGAATCTTCTAACTCCAGGTGCAACCTCTGCCTCATCCTTGTTTACTGACCCTTTTATAGGAAAGTCATCCAGAAAAACTTCAACCTTATCAGGGATGAAGTCCTTGAGGACGGCTGCCATGGCTCTCTGAAAAACGGCTACCCCATTAGTCCAACCCATAGGGACAACCATCATCTGTATTAGTCCCAATAATGTATGCATAGCCGTGAGGTGCCTGTCTCTAGGGTCAAGTGGCACCTCATCATAGCCTGAGAACAGATCACAGACCGAATAAATCGACCTACCTGCGGCGCCTTCTGCCAGTAAATCGGCGTGTGGCACGGAGCCCACGTCTGGTATCGTCACCTCGTTGACCTTCTGAAGGTCCTGGATCCATCGGATTTTGCCATTCGGCTTTCGTAGGATGAACCATCGATTAGCATAAGCGCTATCAGACGGCTCCGCAACATAGGAAACCATCTTTTCTTTCAGGAAAGCGATAACTTCTTTCTTCTCCTTCTTGGCGTATTTCCATCCCGCGTCATTCCAGGGAACATGTGGTATCGTGTAAATCCTTGCTGGCTTAGCGTATCGAGGGTCAACCCTACCGCGCTCCG